CCACCGCACCGCGCTGCACTGGGCCTGCTCGGCGGGGCACACGGACGTCGCGGATCTGCTGCTCGGCTTCGGCGTGCCTGTCAATGATAAGGACGATGTGAGTGTCGCGGCCCTGCCGGGATCCCCCGCCCCGGCGCGAGTTGGGGTGCGCGGGGTCTGTCGCGCCCTTTGCTGGCACAGCTTCAGCCGCAGAGGGGCCCGGGCAGCGCCAGGAGGGCACTGTCGCTTCGCCCTTCTTTCCATCCTTTTCCCCCTGCTCTCGTCTGCACCCAGCGCGGGGTCTGCGAGGCCTTGGAAAGCTCAGGCTGCTGCGTGTGCGCTGGGGAGGCAAGTCGAAGTATTCGCTGTTCGTATAGAAATAGGCGTAAAAAGACTTAGTAAGTCCTGCTTATTGTCAAGGAGTTTTAGGCAAGCTCTTCCTATGAACGAAGCTTCAAAGCCAGGAGTGTTCGGGTGGTTGTTTTCATGTTGCCTTTATCTCGCTGTGATCCTCCCAGATATTTTGTGCCAGCTCATGAGGTACCCTGAAGATTTCTCATATTGGGGAAGGCATTATAGAACATGTGGCAGGTTCGTTGATATCACAGTTGGAAGGAAGATAGTCTGCTCCTGTTCTAGAGGAAAGGCTGAAATATTTACATCTGTTACAAAGTATCCTAAGTATCATCCTTAAGGAAATGTCTCATCGGTTTAGAGGGTAGAATATAGAAAGGATTGCAGAAACTTTTGAACACCTTTTTCTACCACTCTTAAAAAAACCACTAATGTTAATTCCACAAGTGACCTGTAAAGATACCAAGCATAACTGCATGGGAGGAGTGAGCACAAGTGCTATGAGGAGAGGCTGAGGGAGCTGGGGGTGTTCAGCCTGGAGAAGAGGAGGCTCAGGGAAGACCTTATCACCCTCTACAACTCCCTGACAGGAGGTTGGAGTCAGTTTGGGTTTCGTGTCTGCTCCCAGGCAACCAGCAGGAGGACAAGAGGGCACAGACTCAAGCTTTGCCAGGGGAGGTTTAGGTTAGATATTAGGAAGAGATTTTTTACGGAGAGAGTGATCAGACATTGGAATGGGCTGCCCAGGGAGGGGGTGGATTCAAGATGAGACTGGATGTGGCACTTAGTGCCATGATCTAGTAACCACAGTAGGGTTGGACTCGATGATCCTAGAGGTCTCTTCTAGCCCAGCTGATTTTATGATTTCTGACATTTAACTGGTAGCTTTGGTCAGGAACTGAATGTGAGAGGACAGACATGTGAGAGCACATAAGACTTGTCTCTCTGGTGATAATCAATAATGTTTAGCTTTACCACTGTAAGACTATGTGCAGTATGAGCCCTCAGGTCTCTGTTTGGGTTATGTATTGTCATGTTTTTTGCCTGAAACTCACGGTTTGAACAATGTGGTTTTCTTCTTGCTCTGTAGGCTGGTTGGACTCCCTTACACATCGCTGCTTCGGCAGGCCGTGACGAAATCGTGAGAGCTCTCATCGCTAAGGGTGCCCATGTGAACGCTGTCAACCAGAACGGCTGCACACCCCTGCACTATGCAGCCTCCAAAAATAAGCAGGAGGTATGTTTACCTATGCTACTGGAGGTGGTGGTGCTCTTGGAAGAAATATTTAGTGATATGAACTTCACATCCCCCTCCCCTGCTCCTTCCTCTCTCTACATACCCAGATTGCAGTCATGCTTTTGGAGAATGGAGCAGATCCAGATGCAAGAGATCACTTTGAATCCACCCCATTACACAGAGCAGCAGCCAAAGGAAACCTAAGGATGGTACAGATCCTTGTGCAGCACAATGCAACTGTGGATATGAGGGACTCTGAAGGGAATACTCCTCTGTAAGTCATTTTTTCTTTTGCTTAATGTAACATAATCTCTATGAAATGAAACTCCATTGCTTCAAATTCTTTTTTAATCTCTTGTTGCCTCAAAATACTCCCTTGCAGTTAAAAAGTATTTGAGAAAATCATACTTAGTATTTTTCCTAAGTGTGTCTGTACATGCATGCTTGTATTTGTGCTCCTAATTCTACTTAAAGAGAGTAGAACACCTTTTCTAACAGTCTGGAATACGTTTGATTGCCACTAGAGGGTAGAAAGTGAGCTACTGGCATCAGAGGAAACTGGTCTTGCAGGCTGGCCTACTCAGTCCTGCCAAGCCAGAACTCATTTTAGAAGCTTTTCTTCACCTCTCTAAGGAAAATAAGTTGCAATTTAAGTACAATCAGGCTAGTGTTTGATGTTATCTTAGAGATCAGTTTGAACCTGTAAGGGCAAAACCTTAGCTGCTTTGAAGTTGGTGGCAAAACTCTGCCTTCTCTGTGGTGGAATCAATATCAGGATCAAATGATATGTTTTAGCTATACCTAAACCCCAGTATGGCCCTGGAACACACACAGTTATTCTCAAGATACTGTGCCAAGTGGAAAAAAGCTTTTGCTGCCTTTGCAGTAACTCTTTACTTCAGATTATTTTTTATCATCAAGTAAGTTATTTATCACATTCAATTCAAATGGAGATTGCTGTTTTCCATTTTCACCATGGATTATGTTCTCCTTAGCTTTGCTGACTGCAGAGCCAAATCCTAATCCCAAGAACTGTCTTAACATTGCAAGGACAACAGCAGGAGGAATGTTATTGAGTTGCTTAATGACAGCAGAGTGACTGGACAGCAAGCTTTGGAATCTGTAGGTAGTTGGTTGCGTGTGGTTTTGTTGTTCTAGGATGTATCTCCCCCCACTGTTTGCACTGTCACTTTGACATGGCATAATTACTGCTCTTTGTAAGCTTGGACTGTTTAATAGTGGCTGTGGGTTTCTTGTTCTTACTGCAGTCATTTAGCCTGCGATGAAGAGAGAGTGGAGGAGGCAAAGCTGCTGGTGTCTCACGGTGCAAGTATTCACGTTGAGAATAAAGAAGAGCTGACCCCACTGAAAGTGGCAAAGGGTGGCCTGGGAGCAATCCTTAAAAGAATGGTGGATGGCTAGTGGGGGCTTCCCACTTGAGTCTCTTTCCTGTTGCACTTGTATTTAAGACTGCAAACTTCATATTTTGATAGTTCAACTAGGATGTTATGTGTGGGTATCAGCATGGTCATAAAATGTTTTTATTGACGCTTTCCTTCAAGTGCAGTGCCAAAACAACTGTTTGTACTTCCTGTTAATTAAATAGTTCACTGGTTTTCAAGTATTTTTCAATATCTTGTAGCTTTCAGTTTAGAGTATGATCTGTATAAATGTGATCATTCCCTCTATTTGAGATCCTAGTTTAGAATTATTTCTTTCAAGTAACAGGACCAAAAATGCTTTAGCCACTTAAAGCCAATTTTCTTTTGGAAGTTTGCTCTAGAGTCTTCCATAGCCTTTGTGATTTGTGTGTGGGGTTTTGTTTGTTTTTTCTGGGTACTGATTTTCCAGATTGTTCTTAATGGCACTGTATCTCCCATTGCAGAAGGCAGTTTGCTCAGTTACTTAGATACTTGTATCCATTTTTGCTACTCTTGGTCTGTTCAAGTTGAGATGAGTGTTTAAAGCTTTTCTGTTGTTACTGATTATTATCCTGTTTCTCTGAATCCTGAAATACATATATTTGAAGTGCACTGGACTGGCTACTTGCAGAATGCAGGTGTAGTTTCAGGGTTACCTCTGCAAATATGTTGTTTTGTAATGTTTTTTTCCTCTTGCTGGTTTTGTAGGTTCCTTTTTCTGTTCTCTTTGATTCTCGTATGCAGCACTGGCACTTGCAGTTTACCATCTTATTTTGTACCAGAAGCCTGGTTTAATCTTTATTTATTCATAGCAAATCCTGATACTAAGTTATTAGAAGGCAGAGCTAATGAGACAGTCTGAAAAGTGACCTCCTGTGTTGATGTTGGTAAGATCATTTTTGACACCAGTGGGATAGATTTCCCCTTTCTGAACAAATGATGCTGGTGAAATTCTGTGAAATAAAGAACTTTCCTAAACAGCAGTCTTTGGTATTATAAAACTTTATTAAACTTACATGTAATAAACCAAATATTTTCTAAATAGCTTGTATGCTTGGGATGTGAACAGCAGGAGAGATGAAACCCTGCCGTGTGTTACAGTGTGGGAATGCAACGTGTCTGTTCTTCAGCCTCAAGCAAAGGTTGAAATGCAAGCTCACAGTTTCTGCAGTTTGGCTCGTAGGGTTTAAGGTAATGCAAGTTTATTTTGATAAGCAAGACAAATGCTTACAACCAAATATCTTCACCAAGGTCTTTAAATGTATCTTACCACACAAAATGCAGGTTAAATTTCACTGAGGGGATGCATTGAGAGCAGGAGGGATAACTTGCCTGTACAGTAAGCTCTGGCCACACAGACCTTGATTGAAGGAGGAACCTGACTAAATAAATGTTTCTTGTCTATTGCACAGGCACTGCTGAAAATTTGATTTGAGAGCAGCTAAAGTTGAGTTCTGTGTTCATCCTTGATCGTTGTATAGCAAAAAACCCTGCCCCAGCTCTGTAGCTTTGTAAATCCACTCCCCTAAGAGATGGTGGCTTGATTGTTGGCTTAATATCTGGTTTCCATGTTAATGATCCCTGCTCCCTCCGGAGCAGATAAATGGGCCACACAGCAAAGACTGTTGGAACGTCTCAGGCAAATTCTGACAAACATTTCTGCATCCTGCGTGGCCCTGCAGGGTTTTAGAGCTACACACTGTGGATCAATACCTAATTTGACTTGTGCTCTGCCAAGAGCATCAGTGGAAAGCTAGGAACAGGGCCCCATCCTTTTTACTAAATGATTTTACATGAGAGAAATTTTATAATGAAAGCAAACATCTGCCAGAAGGCTTTCAGAGCCCCTCGCTATGTTAAGAAACTCCAGATAAATGTTATTTTCCTTACCTTCCTCTTCACCCTCAGCAACCAATTCACTTCTTATTTTTGCCTTTTTTACTTTTAAAATAGTATCTATTACGCACTGGTGGCTAGAAGTATGAAAGGAATCGTTAGTCTAGAACTTGCATTCAACTGTCCTTTTGTTTTATATGAAAACATTAACATAACTTGAGCAATTTCTACTTTTTGAGCAAATGTGAGACCTGTGATGTTCTAGGAAAATTGTATTAGCTATAGAAGGTAATTGCAACTTCACCAGCATAAGCTCCTATCTTACTGTAGCAAGTTAGGTAAGGACTACCTGCAGATAAATTTGTGGAGGTGAAATTAAGGAAAGAAAAAAACCCAATACAAACATGAGCACATAATACAGTTCTCTCTTCAATCCTGACAGTGCTGTTGCAGAGATGTGCAAGTTGGAAAGGTGTTGCAGTAAGAAAAATGTGACTAAGATGCATAAATACAGGAGATGTCTTTAGAAGAACTAATACACCTATAGCAGTGACATGAAGACAGTAGTTTATATTTCCCCCTGAAGGGCAAGAGTAAACAAATGCTGGGGAATGTCAGATAAGAAATTATTTAAAATTATTGCTGCTGTCAACCAGGTCATGGGCACCCTTGGACCAATAATTGATTTGGGAAACACCTTTGGTAAGAAATAGCATCCAAAGAGCAATAGGTAGTACTTAATCTTCTCTTGCTGCATCTTTCCATGCTTACTGTCATTGTTCTGCATGCTAACACAGCTTTGGGTGTCACTATCAGGTGTTTCCAGTCAGCTGCTAAACCTAGACTGAAGGATGTGAGTTGTGGATTTTGTTTGGCACAGTTGCCCCAAGAGTCAATAAAAGCTGTCTGATTAAGGAGACTTCTGTACAAGTTATGACTTAAGGTTTACCCTGGATATTTTGGGTTGAGAGGAGTGTGAGGATCCACTGGTAGAATATGGCAGTGTTGGTATGAGCAAGTGTTTGACCCTCACAGGCTGGCGCAAGCAGTTTTTAGCTAAAACAGTTTGTCAGAATACTGTAAATGCTCTTTTACTCTAGAGCGAAGCTAAACACTTGGACACACATAGCAAAGATAAATATTTGAAAGCCAGAAAACTGTGTGGAAAGGGCAATGAATGTACTTATGCTTAAAGATCCAAAATGAACCTTAACTAGGACCTCATGCCTTATATCTTCTCTAAATGTTGGCATCTTTCCCCTCTTTTTCCCCTTTCCCCCCCTTTTTACCCATTTTTCCTTCTTTTTTTCCCCCTTTTTCCCTTCCCCCCCCTTTTTTTGTTGCTTTTCTGTGCTGACTTTCTCAATAAACATGCTTATAGCTGTAGGAACTGAACCTTAAAATTTTAGCTCAGATGTATGCATCTATTTTAAAGATGAATGTTGCATATAAGTAATGTTTACAGGCTACAAACAGTCACCAAAGGATTTATGAACATTAGAACCTATAAAAGTCTTAAGTGCCAAAATGTTCCAGGTCCCTGAGCCAAATACGTTTTTATGCAGTGCATGAGAGCGAAACCAACATCTCCCTGTGTCAGTGAGGACCTGTCACACATAGTCCAGATGGGAGCTGCTAGGGCTGTGGGTCTGTATTCACCTGAGCCCCACAGTCCTTGAGCTCTGTCCAAAGTAGGTATCTTTGCCTTTTTGAAAAACAGTTTGTGTAACCTTAGAAATGAGGCCCAGAGAGAAGAGGTGTCTGGTGATCGGGGGTGTGGTTCAATTCCCTCTGCTCATTACTCCACTACAGGCTGTTGGTGTGCTTTGCACTCCTTACCTTTCCTCTTGATGCTTTCACCTATAGAAAACAGGCCATTACACTAGGCTAAAGAGACCAGAAGTAGCCTGACTGTGTTGCTCAGTGGATAGAACAGTTGCCTGGAAATAGATTAAAATCACCTCAGTCAGAGGAAGCAATTGACACCAGTGTGCTGCATAGTAGGCAGTATCACTCCTGAGTTTTGGAAACAGCTGTATCTGTGTGTCATGAGGAATCTGATACTGTCCATGCCTATTGGAATAAGCCTTGCAAGGGATTTAGATTTCTAGCTCCTGTTGTGTGGAAAACGGTCATTTGATGTCTGAACTGGGTACTTGAATGCCAGTTCCATTAAACTGAAAGCCAGGACTGCTGTTTCACACAACTCTGGAATGCTGGTGCCATGGGAGTTTTAAACCAACAAGATCACTGTTAACAAAATGTATTCCATGTCGGGCAGCAACAGGGTAAAAATTTTCAGGGTCTTTTTTTTTTTCCCCCAGCTTAAGTGGAATCCAGACACACAAGATTTCATTGGCCCAGGCCTTAACATCGGTTTCTGCATTCTGATGACATGGATGTAACTTCTTCTTACGTCTGATGTGCAAAATCAGTTCCTTCACTCACTGCAATGTACTGGCCATGATGATAGTTCTTGGTGCACAGGAAACAGACTGGCCAACTCTGTTTCTGGAGAAGACTGCTGTGGCTCAGAACTGTGTTGGATACGCAGCATTACTGGTAGTTGACTGGAAAGTTCCTACTTTGACAAATGCTTCAGCCCATTTCCTAATTAGTTTTGCAAAATAGGTTGGATAAATGTGAATGATAATCTTTTTATGCTTACATTTTTGTATAGTATTAACTAGATAATAAAATTGGATAACTTTAAAGGCCAAATCTTCTGCTATTCACAAAGTGCTTGTGTAACAGACCCTTTTCAATCTCCAGCCCAGTGGTTCACAGTACAAATGCCCATTTAAGTTTTAGTTGTGCTTCTATGTTACTTCAGTGACAACCATTTTTGTATAAAGGGGTCCAAAGTTGACCAAGAAAACTCTGTTAAAACTTTAGGCTATTTCTTCTTTTTCTGCTTCTTGCTTCTCATCATTTTCAGGTGTTCCAGGGGCTGCTGTTTCATCAGCACTTGGGTATTCATTTGTCGCATTGCTCGATGGAACTGTGGTTGCTGGAATGTTTTCTTCATTAGGTACCTGAACATAGTCTGCATTGGGTTGTTTCTGAGCCATTTCTCTGCAGGAAGACAGGATTAGGATTGTGATTCACATGATGAAATCCTATGTACACTAGAGTCTTTCAAAAGAGTGACTCTTTGTTGTCTGAACAGTAACCCCCATGTCATTATGACTGTTCCAAGATCCTGTGAAAAGGTTGCAACATCACTGCTACTAAGACAGAGAGTGACAGAATATTAGCTACTAGCACATCTGCGTCGCTGGTTTAAGTGATCCCATTAGAATAAAATGGATTTTAGTACTATGCCAGGGAAGTGGGATGGGAAACTGAGCACTGGCAAACAGCATCTGAGAAGGGGTGGCAAAACACATGCTTGGTGTGAGCTTTCTGGGAAAACAGACCTGGTGTCCCATTGAAGTGCATTAAAAATAGAGTGCAGGCAGAAAAGAACCATGAAAAATCTGAAATCTAGGAAAATATTCTAAAATATATTTAGTATTTTAGAAAAGACTGAAATCCAGAAAAAAATATTTTTAGTAGCAAGTGTTAATTCCATTTATCTTGTCAAAACAATAATAAACCAGCTCCCAATATTGAAGCACTTTCACATGTAAAAATATCAGATGCTGGTGGATTAATTCAATGCAGTAAGATTTATTAGGATCTGAGCACACAATGAGGTGTTAATGCTACATCAATTTAAAGCAGAAATCAGGTGCATGAGTGAGTGACCACTGGTCTGGGTTAGCAGAATTCCCTGTCAGGAGGTCTTAGACCTGTGCTACAGAGAAGTAACAATTTTTTGCTGGCCTCAGCTGTATGTATTCATTTAGCATTTAACATCATGGAGCTAAATACAGTCTGTATAGTCCAAGAGATTATTCCTGTTCTGAAGATTTTGCAATTTAAGGGAAAAATGAGCAACCAAATCAGAGAGGAAAAAACATCTTCAGAGCAGGATCAAAATGGACATTCTGGGCTCCATTCTGTTGCCTAAACCTTGTGTTTCCTGTGATTTGAGATGCCTTGGAGTATACCAAGTGTCCTGGGTTTTCAGAGAGCTCTGAACTGAGCCCTCTGTGTTTAAATCCCAGCAAATTTGCTGAGGTGACTCTTAGCTGCCGTTTCTTTTTTGACTTCTTCCACCTGCTGTTAACAGTCTCCATTAACTTTTACATACCAAGAGCTGTTTTTATAACTTGCCACTTTCAGTTTATGTCGTTTAAACACATTTACTTTGCTATTTTAGATACTGCTGAGTGGTAGCTGCCAGTTAACATTGGGAAGACATCAATGACAACTTCTGTTACAAGAGCACCAGGTGAAAAGTCCAACAACAGCAGATGTTCTCACCCTGGAAGTTTTCTCAAAACTTGTATTATTTATCTTTAAAACATGTTGAAAGTAATTACATTTTACTTTAGTTCTGAGTTATCAGCAGTGCTTTACAGAAATAATTGACTTAAAAGGAAGCAAACAGAAACTCTTACTGCATCTCATTATTTCGTGACTTCCTATTTTTTGCCTTCTTGGTTAAGACCCAGACGATAACACAAATGATAGCAGCTGCCAGAATGGCTCCTATTAATGCTCCAGCAACAATCCCACTGTCTGAATCTGGAAAGAAAAAAAGATTACTTGACTTTTTCAAAAGTAGTATTATAGCAAAATCACATGGAAATTTAGAGCCAGAGCCTTTAGCAGAAAGAAGACATCAGATTCAAAGAACTATTTCCAGGAGGGAGGCCAACGATCCTCTAGGAATGTGAGAACTGTGATTATGTGATCTTTGCTGCCTCCTTTCTTGTAGGTTAGCTCCCCATCCCAACAAACTCTGTTTATGCCTGGATAAGGGAAACATTAGGCTGTAACACTGACAGTAGCTAAAAGCCTTTGCTCTTCAGTCCTTGCAGACACATTCTGAAATTCAGGTTGCCTTTGTTTCTGTCTTTCAGCTGAGATGTAAAATGTGTGCTCTCATCATTCGTGAGCCTCCAAAGCCTTCTATTTCCACTTCAGTGCAGCTTCCAGCTCTGACCTGCCATTTTCAGTTCACAAACCACTGAGTCATTGAGTGGCCACTTCAGGGACATCTCTCATGGCTGGCTGTACAACATGGGCTTGGCTCTTGTGAAATGTTACTGGTTCTGTGAGAAAGCTGTGTGCAGGTGTGGTTGACCACTGCTTGGCAACAGTCAGGATAAGGTATTTTTCCATGACTGCAGTAGTATTAGCTAGTGGTCACATCTGCAGTGCCCCAGTTCTTTTACTACCCTGTCTCAGTGATGGTTGTAATTTCTGGGCTGGGGAACCTCAGTGGGACTGTTGGCTGGAATGAATTGCTCAAAACTCCATGTCTCTCCATTCTCAGTAAAGGCTCTGCAGTCAGAATCAGGTCCAGCTTCTGCTCCCTGTGGGAAATAAAGCTGGAGGTGTTAAACCAGTGTTGTAGATTAGTCTAAATTCTAGGCTCTAAATTCTGGAGCTCGCCAAATCCTGTTCTGTTCTTACTTGAAAAAAAAATAATCTATGCTTCAAAGTTGTTCTAGCATTTTCCTGCAAGCTGTGCATGTCCTGCATCAAAGATGTGATTACTTTCATGCATTGAACTTACGTTTTGCTGTTAGGTCAAGCTCGCAGGTGCTGTTCCCCAGGACATTGCTGGCTATGCAGCGGTAGTAGCCAGTTTCAAAGGAGGTGAGATTGCCAATGTAAAGAATGCCAGTGTTTGGATCTGTGACAAACAGGGAGCAGGTACAGGTTACTGTTTGTATTCTGTAAAGGCAAACAATTCTCTGTAGTTGGTAACACTGAGAGCTATTCAAAGATTAGAAACAGGGTTCTCTGATTGTTTATTTGGGTTTTTTATATCGTTTGAATAAAAACATTTACCTTCCTTGAATATTGCTCCAGTGGATTTTGCAGGGGTGTATTAGAACATGAGCAGAGGGTCCCTACTCTGCCACCCCGTCTGGCTGATGTTTCAGTTGCATGGATACTGTGATTGTCCATGTAACTTCACGAATAAAAATGTAACAGGTACTGAAAATTTTGAGGGTGGAAGGAGGTCCTAGCATTTGAGAGACAAATTGACTTAATCTAAATTCACTCAAAATTTCGTGGGAAGGGAGATGTAAAGGCATGAATATTTCTCTCAATGCAACAATTTATAGTAGTGGCATAGACAAGACTTCAACATTCCTCACATTTTTGTATTAAATAGAAAAAGTGTCCTGTGTTTCTGACAGCTGTCAGTCGGTTTGAGTAAGTAAAAATACGATTTTGTGACATTGATTGTCAGAAGAGGAGGAAAACTTTAATTAGCCTATGTGATGCACAGTGTTTGAAATGCTGGGACTAGGGAATTTCAGATCTTGAACGCAGTATGGTAATCCTGTAGGTACATACTATATTGTTCAGTCACAGGCTTGAGGGTGTTCTCATCGACTTTGTACCAGCGGTAGGTAGGGTGAGGCAGTCCTCCTTCACATCTGCATAGGAGGTAGACTAGATGGCCTTTATCTGGTGTTCCTTCTATTTTGCAGAAAGGTTTTGATGGTTTGACTAAAAGAACAATGAGAACAGACACATTGTGAGTGCACACCCAGAGCTGTAAGCGTCCACCTCCAGTCCTGGCACTGTGCTGCTCTAAGTAAAGAATTAAACCCCATCCACAGTTTTCTGTCCAAGAGCAGAGTCTCATTTATGGATCTGACCAAAGGCTCTCCCATAAAATACTGAGTAATAATAAATATATGTGCATAGCCTAGGGTACAGTTTTAGTATCTCTTGTTCCATTTGCATGCTATTATTATGGAGGTGTTGAGACAAAGACTGTCAATTACTTCAATTCTAATAGGTCACTCACTGTTTGTTGTACATGATTCTGCTACATAATACATCATTTTTTGTGGGGACATGGCAGGAGCTTTTTCTGCAGAAAGGGAGAGGATCAAGGCCTGATCCTCTAGTATATTGCAGCTGTGGAGGAAATAAATCAACTATAGTTTGGTTATAAAATACATCTTTTGATCTGATTTCCTCACTTTGCTCACAAGAGAGGATTCTGTCTTCACTTACTCCTATTGGTTTTAATTTCCTACCTATAGATATGCTGTTGTGGCTCTTTAGAGTACTCTCAGAGAAACTCTACCAGTGATGAACACAGCCCAATTTTGTGTGCTTGAATGAACAACCTTTCTCGGTTCTTTTGTGTGAAGAGTGCAGTCTCTTACTCAACTGCTCCAAGATTTACTACTCATTTTGGGAATTTTAGATGAGAATTATCACTAGTGCTTTGATTTTTCAGGGAATGAGTTTATATATGTCTTTTTCTTATCCCTGGAAGATAGGCAAGTGAGGATTGAATCACGTTCTCATATGACTCTGATTTGTCACCCTGACCAGGTATGAATTCTCAAAGAGAAAAACAATTATTAGATGGGTTTAGTACAAACTTTTCTCTTATTAGGAAGTAAAGTATCTCATTCCACTGCTTTTTATCCTTCTTGTTCAGTCTGTTCATGGTTGAACTATTGCTTTCTTCCATCCAAAACAGATTTTATACTACTTCATCCAACACATGCTTTTGGGAATTGGTGTGAGCCAGAACTCCTGGGCTGTACTGCTGCCTCTCCCTAGATTTATGCAAGTCACCATGACCAACATTAGGTCAAATTAGTTAAGTTTTGGTCTTTGCTGGGCTGCATGTAATGGTTTCAGAGAGAATTGTCACTCCCAGCTAAAAGGGTGGTTTATTTTAATCAAAGTTAGTAGCACTTTGTTTTCCAACATGAAAAATGGTGTGAAGTTGGGTAATTCCAGCTACTCGCTTACCTGCTTACATTAGGTAACGTTTTGAAGGCACAAAGTGAATCTGAAGGCCACTGGTCAGAGAATGAGATTTGACTGCAGGTCAGGCAAGGGGAGCTGTGGAGTGGAACCGGGTCCGCTGTGGCTGGAAGCTAGAGGGCACCCAGGCTCTGCTGCCTCCAGAGCCCTCGGGAACCATCTGCATCAGGGAGCCCTTTCTCTGCATCACGGGCCTTGTTTACCACAGTGCTGTCATTCCCTCCGGCCCTACGTATTTTGAGCCTTGAACTCAGTGTTTCATAATACGGGAAGAAAACCACAATGCAGCAATAGAGAGGGAAGGCGCTTACCCAGCACACTGACAATCACAGATTTTTGACTCTGTCCAGCATCATCCTGAGGGCTGAAAACTTCACAGGTGTAGGAACCAGTGTCCGAGGGCTGCATGTTGGAGATTGTTATTGATGCATTCCCTGGACCTGTTGCAGCTGTTATCCTGTTCTTAAACGCTCCATAGGAGTAAGACTGGCCTCCTGAATAATAATAGATCTGTGATAAAGAATCAATTGTTAGTTTAATAACAAGGGATCTTGCTGCTTTGTTTGGCACTCAGAATATAGCTGGTTTCTGATTAAGTCAAACAGTGTCACCCCCTTTCTTGACCCCTCCCCCAAGAAAGAAATGAAAACATGGTACATTTGAATACATGTTTCTAATGGTTCTTACAAGACAAACTTTTCAGAAATGGAATTTTTAAATTGTGTGATTGACAGTAGATAGATCTTTGTGGATACTCCAAGCACAGACTGATGCATTTGCAAAAAGAAAGGTGAGACCGTTGATCATCACATGATGATTCGATGAAAAAATGCTAAGTCATACACAGTGGATAGTAGTATTATTTGAAGCACTGATAATTTGTGATATTATTAAGTGGCTCAATAAATGTTTGTGACAAGGATGGGCCCGTCATTGCAAAAAGTGGGTGGCTGCAGAGCTTCCTAAACACAGAAGCTGGCAAGCAGAGAACAGAAACACATTCACAAGACATAGATCTAAGCAAACAAAGCATCTGATCTGTTTGCAGTAAATTTGGAAGCAATAAAAATGCAGTCAAGAACAGCAGCAGAATCATCACACATGATTAGAGCAACCATGCAGTTCTTGTTTGTGTCATCAGTGCCGGAGACAGTGTCATGGACTAACTTGCTTTTTTGAGTTTATACCAGAGGTGGAAGTCAAGAATACTTGTTGGCTTCAGTGCTTGGAAGGGCACCTCTTTGAGATCGAAAGGTTCCCCTTTTACTAAGCAGTAAAAAAAGCTTTGCAGAAAGGTAGACATAGTAAGGATAAATGCCTCCAAGGGATGCAACATTTCCTCACAAATAAAAATTGCTGTTTAACATTGACTGATTTCACTGACTTCAGTAGCATCGATTGTTCGCAACAGCACCGTGGAGTAGAAGTGACCTCATAAGCCTGAACCTGTTGTCTGTTGTCTGAAAGGAAAGGTGGAATTGTGTTCACTGTAGATCCTGGATATTAGTCTGAGGCTTGGGCCCTGAATCTGTTTAGGAACTGCAGTATTGCATCTGCACTGGAGTAAATATAATAGTTCTCAAGGAGTACCCACACTCTGTCCAGTCTAGCTCTGCTCTGAAGCCAAGATCTGAAAGAACAAAGCTAATGTGGAAAACTACAATTCATTTATAATTTTTCTCAGATGTTAATTATAGTGTTGTGTAAGAGTGACAGTATTTGGGATAGGCAGTATGTTCCCCAGTGTCTACATGCACAAACTAGGCAAAGTGAACAGTTCCAGCACATTATGTCATTTCTTTAAACTGGTGAGAGAAAACCATATAAAATTACAGGTTGTGACCCAAATAGATCTAACATAGTTCCTACTGACAGTATTCCATAATAAGCAGTGTAAATGTCTTGATTGAAGTTGAACTAACAACATGTTTTTTAATGAGAATAGTAGGAAAATGCTTGTAGGAAAAAGCTTCACAGACTCCCCTGAAATGTCATTCACACTTGACTAGTATAAAAATTTCCTTTTGGACAAAGTTCTCTGCCTTTTAGGGACACTGCTGCTCCCCAGGCAAGAAGCACAACTTGCTTTACTTTGCAGATCAACTGATTGCATTTTGAATTAAGAATATTTATTCTTAATTCTATTTAACCACCCTGATACAGTGTTGACTGAAGTCTTTAAGAAATGTTATCTAAAAGCCTTTATTAGCTTAAGGCAAGGTACACCCCAAAACTGTCAGAGCACAGCTGCTTTATGCAATGATTTAGCTTTGAACTGAAGGTCAGAACTCAGGCTGCACAGCACCAGCAGCTCTGGGACTGCAGCTTGGTGCCACCTCAAGTGCAATTTTGCATAGTCTTCAGCCAAACTTTATCTTTCCCTGCCCCAGGATTGCAAACACCAGGTACAATTGATACAGGGCTCTGAACACCAAAGCATTCCCAAGGTGTGTTGCAGTAAGGAAGCATAAGACAGTGACAGGCTAGGTTAGAAAGGCTGCTGGACAGACACACAGACTGTGTGCATGTGATACCTTCAGTTTTAAAACTGTTTTTATGCTTTGCAGATGTCTAGAGATGAAGCTCGATTGCAATACTGGAGTCTGGATGCACACTCTTGCATTCCACACGGAAGGAGAGTGTTGAAATTGGGAGTTTGGTTTAAACAAATCACTTATCAAAACCTGGTCTACCTGGAATTACAAAACCACACTGGCCACACTTGTCTCATTCTACATTTATCTGAGTATGAGCAACAACAGAGTGTTGATCACTGTTTCTTGCTAGAGTCTGAAGTTACAAGAGCTGTGGTTTCTTGCTTCAGGCTCCTCTTAAGCTGACATCCCTAGATAGCTCTCAGCAGTGATGGGCTGAATTTCCATCTCCTCTCCATCAGCTGCACCTGTTGAAGCAGGGTAGG